ATTAAAAACCCACTCTTCCGTGTAAAAGACAGCTCTGGAGGAGAAAACCAAGAAAAGATTTCTCAACAATGGGAAGGGTATTTGGGGATGAAATCAGCCAGAGCGCAAGTCTGGAGCTGTAGCTCCAAAATACTGTAATCCAGTCTGCCTCCAAAAGAGCAGTAATCAGCTAGTTTCCTTGGCAAACAATAAAGAACTTGCAAGGGAGGGAATCACTGTCATTTGAGGCCAAAGGGCTGTTGCGTCACACACTTCCTGGAAAAGAATGTCGGCTTGCCTGGGCTGTGCCAGGAAACTTCCAGTAAAGCAATTTTGCTCTCTCTGCCTTTCCCCACGGCTTCCTTATCATGATTCCCCTTTAAGAAGTTTTTATTTTTAACTGCTTTAAAAAGCCCCTAGCCTGGGAAACAAAAGCAGAATCAACTGACCCAGAGGCAGCCAATTTGTACAGAGTTCCTAAATATTCCTAGATTTAGAACACTGCATGCTACACAGATTCTTTACAAGACCTGTTGAATACTAGTTTTAAACTAGGGGTTTTTTTTTATCCTGAGAAGAGAATTCCATGTTGTTTCATCTTCCAGTTTAAATATAACCTTGGGGGTTTATAAATTCCCTTTCCTTATTTGGCTTCAAGTGGATAGACTGTCATCACAATCCTAATGACATATATATTAATAACGAAGTTGGAAGGGACCTTGGAGGTCTTCTAGTCCAAACACCCCTGCTGAAACAGGAAACCATTTCATATGGAGACTTTATATATAAAAAAGCTATCAGCAAATACAAACAAGAATTCCACACATTTGTACATAAAAGACTCACAGACATCCTATGATTAGTATCACTGAGTGACACACATCCAAAGTATTTTGGAAGGATGAACCATTCAGACGAAAGAATGAAACAAACCCTGAGGAACACAGGTAAGGTTATCATCACTATTATATTTCATTTATCGGAGCGAAGCAAAAGAGCTTTGAATTACTACATCACTATATGTAAGGGTGTAGGTCTATACATGTGTTGTATATAGTATGTTTAAATGTGTGTTATGTATGTGTACACTTTGAGAGCAACTACATTTCATTTTTAATGTGTGCCATTGTGCCCACAGTAAAAAATGACAAAATCTATCTATCTATCTATCTATCTATCTATCTATCTATCTATCTATCTATATCTATCATATATGAGAATTAGATTAGTACCGTATAGGTCAGTACCACTGATGTCATAATAGTACATGTGTCATAATCAAGTATTGCCTGGAATTTTGAGTTTCATTCTGAAGTTTCCGTATCTCCATCCTATTGTTCAGTACTGGTCTTGATTTGTTCAGATCCAAACTGGCAAATCTGAACAGAATATCCCCAAATATCAAATTTCGGAATTAGCTCCTAATAGTACCAGGGGCTACAAAATCCTTCCGGCGAATCCAGGAGTTTGGGGATCCCTGGCTTAGAGGATCTAAGCTTTCCTCTATTTCTGAGAAAGGCAGATTTTGCATATTTGAGATTAGGCTACAATGACAACACAATGCTTGGATTGCTAACAATGCCTTCCATCTCCACCCACAGTGGGGGTAGATCATGTGCCCAAGAGGCATTGGTTTTTTTTTCTTTTCCTTTAAGGAATCTGCATAAAGATTTTAGGCAGGCTTAAGTCCTTCTTTTAAAATGCTAATGGAGTACTGTTACAAGCTCCCTTAGAATGGATAAGGAAGAAAACAAGTCTCAGGGACCCCCCCCCCACTGAAAAGATGATGAAATTCTGGACAGTAATAAAAGAACAGAGTTTTGACATTCTAAACGCAATAAGCTGTCTGATTATCTGAAATAGTACAACTATTAGCTCCAATGTAGCACATATTCCAGTAGTTTTTCCAACCTGGGCCCCTTGGAGACTTCCCCAGCCAGCCTCCAAGGGGTCCAAATTCAGAAACACGGACTTATTCCGTTTCTTATCCATTCAGATCTCGGCCGACTACGACTCCCAACTTCCCCAGGCGAAGATGGGTATTGTAGTCCAACGTACTGACGTTCCCTGCTCTTTCCCTCGGCCCCCCCTCCCCCATTCGAAGCCCCCCTCCCCTGCCTGTAACCGCCGCCGTGGAGGCTTTCCAACGGCCCGGATTCGAACTGAGGCCCGAGGCCTCCTCACCTGAGGAATCCGGAGCAGGATCCCGGCCGACTGGACGAGCTCACAGCCCGTGATCCGGAGCTGCGCCTCGGTCTCGGCGTCGAGGCCGTTGCTCATGGAAGGCGTGAAGCGAAGCGTCTCCTCCGGCAGGAGGCAGTTCTCCAGGGTGAGCAGCACCCCCGAGTAGAGCCGGTCGCCGATGCGGAGCGCCCCGGGCGGAGGCGGCGCGGGAGGCGGCGGGAGAGGCCCCGGGCCGCCGCTAGAAGACGACGACGACGAGGAAGAGGACGAGCCGCCGGCCGAAGCGGCGGCCATCCTCGCCGAGCCGAGTCCGAAGCCCGCCGGGGCCGCTGTGGCCGCCGCGGGCGCCATCATCGCCGCCATCTTGTCCGGACGACGTCGCCACCTCCGCTCAATCTCGGACTGATTCAACTCCACTTCCGGCCTCCTCTCGCCCGGCTTCCTGCCCGCGCCAGGCTTCTGTCCCCGCCCCGAGGCCGCGACGTCTCCCATTGGCCCGCCCCGAGGAGGCGTCGGCTTTCCGATTGGCCAGCGGCGAAAGAACGTCCTTGTGACGCAACGGTGGAAATTTCGATTTTCCTTCTCCAGGAAGTTGCGAAAAGAAAGAGGGGAGGGGAGGGGAGGGGCCGGGCGGGTTGGGCTTCGTTGGAGAGGCTGAGCGGAACAATCAAGCTTCCCGGCGTGCAACGCGCGCGCCGCTTCCACTTCGCCTTCTTTCTCAGGAAGCGTTGGGTTCTACCACTTCAAAATGCGGGGGGGGAGAGGGTGCACCCGTAGCCGGTTCAGAGAATGGGCAGCTTTCATTTCTGCCAGATATCTGGACGGAGAATTAATGCGGCCAGGGAAGACTTTTGGTAATCTTTCCTACTGTTTTTCACCTTTCCAGAGCGGAAGAAGTTCTAAATGAGCTCCCCCATGCGTTCTAATGGTACAACCCAGATTGAAGGCAAAGTTCTGAATGGGCAGCCAAGCCGCTCCTTTGATTTTGATGCCCAGAATGGCAGAATTCCTCCCCAAAAATCTGGTTTTTATTTAAAAAAAACCCCAAACCCTCCGATAATAATTCCCCTGCCAGCTGAGAGCGATAGGGAGTGTAGTCCTCCCTTGCCCAGGAATGAAAATGCACCAGGGGTCCCATCCACTGCAGCATTTCCTATTATTACTGACATTATAAAGCTTTGCAAAGTGATGGGCACATAATCAGAGGTGAATTTCCTTATATGGGCCTTGCACTGGGGTGTGAGGACACTGGGCCTGGTTAATGAGTTCACTCAAGGGGGGGGGTGTTTTGCACACACACACCCCCCAAGGTGTAAACTCACCATGCGGGGCTGCTCTGCTCAACCTGGTAAAAAAAAAAAAAAAAAACCTTGTTACAAATGAAGGTGAATATACATGTCGGGATAATGTTGCAGGATCCAATCTAGGCTGGTCACTGGGACCAGAGGTTTCGTCTTCCGAGCTTTTTGGATTTGTACTGGAGCTCATCTTCAGGGGACTTCTCTCTAACCCGAGTGCGTGCTGTCTGTGCATGGTATTTGTATGGTGCCTGTTGCATGTGGCCTTTTAGATGTTGATTGGGGTGTGTTGATGGCTGGCTTTTAAGTCCTTGACTGTCCTTTGGCTTGTGCTGCCCAGCCTTCACCTTCTAAGTACTTTGATAAGCCGGTGATAAATCAGCCCTCCTGTTGACTGTTTGAAGCCCGTTTCCCAGGCTTCAATTGCTTCCCTGGCTGTTTTTGTGCCTGCTCGTCCAACAATCTTAGTAGCTGCAAAATTGAATGTGTGTCCTTCTTCATTGCAGTGTGAAGCTACCGATGAGTTCAGGTCTCCTTGTCAGACCACTCACTTGTGTTCTTGCAATCTGGTGGTTAACTTCCTCCGTCTGTTCTACATAGTCACAGGGGCAGTCCATGCAGGGGATCCGGTAGATTAAATTGGAAGTATCTCCCACCTCCAAGCAATCTTAACAAAGTATAATTTGTCCTTGTATAGTTACTCTGAATTTTTTGTGTGTGTTAAGAACTTGGCTTCAGAGAAATGTTAATCTACACCCCCAAACAAAAATGCTGGATTGTGGGTGATATTTTCCCCACTATTACCTGCTCCGCTGCATCCACAATTTGCAGTTCACAGCCTAGCTTTGAACTGAAATAGATTATGCCAGAAGCTAAGGTCAAACTGAACTTTCTAAGGTGAGGTACAGAGATATATATTGCTTCCCAACTGCAAAGGGCATTTTATCTCTGTCTCTTGTATTTAAAATAACGCAAGGGAGCATTTGCAGAGCTGCTTGACCTTGTTTGCCAAATTCCAACCAGCAAAAGCTCTTTGGCAAAGAAAACCATGGCTGAGCAGAGAGCCCGGAATATTTAAGATGGGGAAGGATAAGAGGCAAGAGAATGGAGAGGCCTAAAAAAATGTTTCCCACATTAAAACAGAAATTGGCTGGGAGAGAGGGTGATTAGTAGAGTAATTCAGCTGTGTTGTTTTTTTTATCCTTTCAATTTGCTTTTTTTAAAAAAAAAAAAACCTAATCAAACTTTATTTTCATGTCACCCTTTGCTCTAAAGTCCATCTTGCGTATAGTATTCTTTCCCCTTTTCTTTGTTTTGCTTTCATTGTTTTACTGAATAAAAAACTGGGGGGGGGGGGGAGAGAGAGTTAAGCCTCTGAGCTAGATTTGACCCAACAACTCACTACAGACGGGAGATGCCCTAAGTTGAATAGCCACAAGCCACGGATCAAACTGGATGACTTTCAGAAATCATTGCTTCAGCTCAAGCAGGGAGAGAGAGAAAAAAATATCAATATTTTTATTTCTAAAATGTCCTTTTTTTAATTTGAGCAAAGCTCCTTGGGAGCGCGTTCCCTTCATGGATATTTCAGTAGGCGGGAAAATATTCCTTCGGGCTCCTTTTCTTCGCCCTGGGCTGCAAGCAGTCCTTCTTCCCCTCTTCTTTTCGCCAAAGCAGCTAAAGATTTGAATGTCTTTGGTTCATAAATGGCCAGCTCAGCCAGCGATTTCCGGTTCAGTTCTACCTGACACTGTGATGCAGGAAAATTAAAAAAAAAAGAGCTGACTTGGCGTGAGTCTAGATTTACATTTCCTGCATTTTTATCCTATCCAAGCATGAAAAGTTCAACGAAGAAAAAGCAGATTTGAACTTTGTACAAAAAAAAAAGTCATTTGTAAGCTTTTGGGGCCTGCTGCAATCCTTCCCCATTTTTTAAAATTATTATATTTAAAGTCACTCGTGCTCACAGTAAGGAACCACAGCCACATGGCCATCAACAAGCCAAAAAAAAATCACCTTAAAGTATAATAAAACATTCGTAATATAAATTTAAAAGGATAAAATAAAGCAACACTAACGACAGTAATGATAAATTGGTGGTGTCATTTCATCACCTCCAGGCTGTCTGGAAGAATGCAATGTTGAAAAACACCTGGAAATCTAAACTAGAAAAAAAAAATTAAAGCCAATTACCTTATAAAGGCCACTTATGAAATTATGGTACTTAATACCATGTTCCAACGTTGCTGCTTCGATCCTGGTTTCCCAAAGCTGAAAGGGAAAAATGCAATATTCATAAGATTTTGGTAAAGAATTAAGATGTTTGCATAGCTGCGGACCATCCCTGGCATACAATCCTGTCCTATTGATTGTACAGGGGGCCTGTTTCCCAGGCTTCAATAATTTCTCTGGCTATTTTTGTACTTGCCCTGCCAATAATCTTAGTAGTTGCAAAACTGACTGTTGAAGAAATGGAATATAAATTTATGGCTCCCATTACTTAGTGAGTTGAAGACTTGACATTAGATATTGTGTTACTGGCAGATGTAACTTATGCATGGACAATGACTTTGAAATACGGTCACCTTTAACTGAAACTATTACATAAAATGTCATATATATCTGTATGAGAAGCCCTTAAGGGCACAATTTACATTGCTGTAATTGCATTGTTGCTTGCTTCTCTCTTTTGGTTATTCAACTTTGCTCTGTTCTAGTAAATAAATAAAGCACATTTTCTTAAATGAGCAATAATAGAAGGTAGAAACCCAGCAGATTGCCCTTAAGGCACTTCAGGACGCACAATATTTTATAAGTATCTCAAATGTTTTGGCTCTTCCTTACCGTCCTCATATCTCTCTTTTTGAGCAATCTGGCCTTGGTGGCGTACACAAAGGCCCTCCGAACAGCTCGGTATGCCAAGCTATAACAACGGTTCTTCCGTCCACGAAAATGCTGGAGAGAAGGGAAGGAAGGGCACAAAGATAGCAACATCAAAAGATTTCCAGTCCTCATTAACCAGAAACCCCCAACTCACAAAATCCAAGGTGCTTGATGTGTTGAATAATACGTGGCACAACTGAAGCTTGGCATCACTGCGCGGAACCTGGAATTGTTACCCTGTCCCTTCAGCCCACCAATTGAGCACTGGCAAGGTGGGCATCTGCAGCAAGAAGTCCTATTCAACAGATCAGGCTGCTGAGAATAGGGAATTCTGGGAGCTGTAGTTCTAAACATCTGGTGGGGAAACTTAATGTAGGTAATGTAGGCCACCCACTCTGTGGAATCAGCAATCCGGGTTTACAATGACTTAAGTTTGCAAGAACAGTAATAACCATAGCAATAACAGAGTAAGTCAAATGCAGTACTAAGAGCCATCCTATTACTACTAGGAGCAACATTAAACAGTACAGCTGTACTACTAGGAGTACATTTCCAGCAGTTCTTAAGTAAATATGCCCTTCAGAGGAACTCAACGCCTGATGTTCCTGTTGCGTTCTAGGCAACAACACGGAAGTGGGGTGCCCTCGCCTTCTCCCAGGAGGTTTCTTTAACCTCCCTCTTAGCATTGCCCTTTCCTAGTGGTCTCCCATCCCTGGCTGCCAGGCCGGGCGCCGCCTGGCTCCCAAAGCATCAAGCTACTAAACCATCTCGGGGCTAAAAGGAGGGAAAGGGGAACGAGAAGGCAGACTGGCGGGGCTGCAAGGCGACCCCTCCCCGCCTTACCAGGGCATGCTTGAGAATCTGCTGCTTGCGCCAGAAGCGGTCGGTCACCCGGCTGCGGAGCCAAAGCGGGAAAGTGAGGAAAACCATGCCAGCGAGCCCGAGCTTTGCAAAGGAAGCGGCGGAGGGGTCGCCCGGCTGGAGGTGACCGAGCCACGCGGCCGCCGGGCGAGACTTCGCAGCAATTGCTGCAAAAACGACCGGGAGAGCAAAGGGGAAGAGCGCGCCACCCGCAGCCCCGCACTTCCGGCGCTGGTGGGGAACTCGCCATTTGAGTGGAGAAGGGGAGGAAGAGGAAGGCCAGGGCCACGCCGAAGCGTTATAGATCGGGATTGGGGGGGGGGGGGGGGGGGGGGGACAGGGGGTTAGTTGTCGCTTCTTCGCCCGGAAGGCCCGCCATGCGATCTTCCTCCCGTCCCTTTCCCATTGGTTTCCGTGGGAACCGCCCCTCAAGGAGGAAAGAGGAAAGCCCGAACAAAGAGCGAAATGCAGCTGCGGTTCCGATCGACGCGCCCCGCGGGGATTTAAATCAGTGTTTTTCAACCTTGACCAATTTTAAGGCATGTGGACTTCAACTCCCAGAATTCCACAGCCAGCATTTGGCTGTGGAATTCTGGGAGTTGAAGTCCACATGCCTTAAAATTGTCAAGGTTGAGAAACACTGATTTAAAGGGAGGGGAAACCGTCCCGAGGTGGCGAGTCCCGTTTTTTTAAAAACCCTTTGGCTAATTTGGAAAGGCTATACCGGATCGGACCTCATTAGGAGGGGAGACCACGAGGAAAGCCCAGCGTCGAGGGGGCTTGGCTCAGGAGGAAGATAAAACTTCCTGCAAGAAGGCAACCGACATTGGTTCTGTTGGGAAAAAGCTGCACGGGTGGATAGAGATGGGAATGCGGGATGCTGGTTGGGACAGGCTGTGGCAGATGGGTGTGGAAATCAACCGGCTGGGGCTCAGAGGGGCTTTTTTAGAGCACTTGCAAGGCTTTTGGTTTGACCTGCGCACCTCAAAGCCTGCATTTGCACAACCACCTCCCCCATATGTGCATCAAACATGGAATAATCAACTCCCTGAATTTACACAAGCCACACGTGTGCACAAAGGCACCTGCTCGTCGTATGCGTGGGTCAGCCCACTGTGCAAACACAAACAGTATTCTTCACACACATTTTTGTATCTAGAAAGCTGGACTGCACAAAGGGCATTGTCGTGTGACGCATACCCGCAAGGTGTCATTGTGTAATGACCTGACGGAGTGGCAGAAAGAGCCCAAAGGACATCTGTCCTACCCCATTCCCGACTCTTTCTTCTGCCCGGCTCTGACAGTCGTGTGCAGGTGTCAATTCTGAGCACTCTACAACCATCCCAAAAGCCGGGAGCTCTTTACAAGCAGTCCTCAACTTAACAGCAGTTCATTTAGTGACCGTTCAAAGTTACAAGGGCGATGAAAAAAGGGATTTATGACCATTTTTCCACACGTGAGAGACCCTTGCAGTGTCCCAGTGGCCATATAACCAAAATCTGGATGCTTGGCAGCCGGTTCGTATTTACGACAGTCGCAGCATCCCAGGGTCACGTGATTCCCCCTTTTGCGACCTTCTGACAAGCAAAATCAACAGGGAAGCCAGATTCGCTTAACGACCGTGTTAATAACAACTGCAGGGATTCTCTCAACAACGGTGGCTGGAAAGTTCGTAAAATGGCCGCAGAACGGGGCAGAAATTCACTTAACAACTCTTTCACTTGGCAACGGAAATTCAACTCTTGGTCGTAAGTCAAGCACTACCCATGCCCTGGGTGACAGGCAGGGAGAGCACAGCTAGAGAGAGCTCTGGGTTCTGGCCTCTTCGGCGGTCTCCTTCCACCAAGTCTTCCGGCTCAGGTCTGCCCCCTTTGCTATCAAAAGTTCCACCAGGGGAAAGAATTTTTTCTCCGCAGCCAAATGCAAAGCGGTTTTCCCCAACCACCCGGCCGTGTTAACGTCCGTTCCGTGCTCTAAGAGACAACCGGCAACGTTGGCGTGACCGCCGAGGACTGCGCGGTGGAGTGGTGTGAGCAGGAGGCCATCTCTTCGATTAAGGCTGGCAGGGGAGCTTCCTCTGAGCAAAAGGCAGACGGAGCGCAGGCACCCGGCGCCTGCGGCCTTGTGGAGCGGGGTGCAACCGCGGAGGTCTGCTAAGCTTCGATCCGCTTGGTTCTGGAGCAGCAGCTTCACGATCTGAAGGGGGAGAGACAGGAAAAGCTTGAGAAAGCAACAGAAGTCCTGCTCCAGTGGAAGAATCCAAGAATCCCACAGGTTTTGTGCTAAACTTCACCGAGTCTCTGAAAGAATTTGATTTTCCACTTCTGGGCTTTCGATCCATTGGAAAGCGAGATGGATGAAGTTTGCGCCCGCAGGAAAGCCTCGAGGTTTTTAAGAAGAGATTGGACAGCCATTTGTCTGAAATGGTATAGGGTTTCCTGCCTGAGCAGGGGGTTGGACTAGAAGACCTCCAAGGTCCCTTCTAACTCTGCTATTCTGTTAAAGCAGTGGTTCTCAACCTTTTTAATGCCGCGACCCCAACCGGTCGTAAGTTGAGGACTAAACCGGTTGTAAGTCGAGGACTAAACCGGTCGTAAGTCGAGGACTAAACCGGTCGTAAGTCGAGGACTACCCAACCGGTCGTAAGTCGAGGACTTTCCCTGCCCGGAAGCGCCGCGCATGCGTGGTTCCACCCCCTGCGCCGGCCGAGGCGTAGCTGGCAAGCGGCAGAGACGGAGCAGGCCGACCACCAGCTGGCCCAGCCCAAGGGAGGTAAGGCACCCGCCGGAAAAGGGGAAAAAAATGGCAGACAAAAAAAATGGCGGACAAAAAATGGCGGACAGCCTTGCTTGGCGACCCCCAGGAAATGGTCGATCGACCCCAAATGGGGTCCCGACACACAGGTTGAGAACCACTGTGTTAAAGCATTCCCCAAATATTTCTCTGCTTGTGATAAACAATAATAAAAACAGCCCCCGATTCATGAGCAACAATCACCCCCCCCCAGCTTCACTATAATAGTATTAATTATTACGATGAATTATAACACTGATCTAAAATTTAAGACCACCTCAGGATGGCTGTTTTTAGAAGCGACAGAGAGCGCCGTCCTTCCGCAGTCGTCTTGGAGATTCACGTCGGCCCCTTGGACAAGCAACAGACGTGTCGTTTCGGGTCTCCCAATCTCGGCAGCGATGTGTAGAGGTGTGACACCTCCCTTGCCTTGGAGATTGGGGCTCACCCCTTGGGAAATCAGCCCATTCATTATGTGAAGCTGGTGGCCAGCTGTGGCCCAGTGCAGGGCGGTCCACTGGTTACAGTCGCAAGCGTTGGGATCTGTCCCGTGCCGTAGAAGCAGTTGCATCATCAAGGTGTGGCCGTTGGTGGCCGCACAATGAAACGGGGTAAGGCCCTCTTTGGTGGAGTCCATCACTGGCGCCCCCCGGGCCAGGAGGAGATCCGCCACTTGGGTATGGCCGCTCCAGGCAGCATGGTGCAGAGGTGTGTAGCCGGCCTTGGTGTCGGTACGGATCACGGCTCCACGCTGGATGAGAAACTTCACCAAGGGGAGGTAGCTGTGTAAGGAAGCGACGTGCAGGAGAGTCCAGCCATTTTCGTCTCTAAAAAGGATTATTATTATTTTTTAAACAGAGAGAGCTGAGAAGGCCTTGGAAAGCAAGGGATGCTGGGAAGTGTAGTTCTAGAGACAGAGGCACACAATTGGTATGGGCCAATTGTCTTTAGATTCGAAACCCAGAATGTGTGGCTTTCCATACACGCTGTGCCAAAAGGCAGGCTGCAATTATGTTTTCTCCTCCAGTAGTTTTGGCTTTTCTAACTGATTTTTAAGGAGCTTGAGCATTCCTTTCACATTTCTTCCTCTTTCGTATCCAGAAAGGTCCCTGCTCTTCCCACCCACCCCTTTGCTGCTTTCATTTCCTGTGTGTGTCTTTGGGAAAGCCAGACTCAGAAGCCAAAGGGCTGGTGATTTGATGCCATTTGCAAACTGGCAGCTACATGCTAATTGTGATGAGTGTTTAACCTCCCAACATTGGCATAAGGAGTGACTGGACAGTTATTTATCCAGAATAATGGTATATAGCATTTCCCTTGTTATTCTGTATAACTTAGGTGAGGGATATATTTTTTTTTTGTCACTGTGGTTTATTGAACCGTGTGAATCCCAACTTATCTGGTTAATTTAGAGTCCAGCTAAACAACCTGTACCAACCCCTGCGGTGGGGCTTAACCAGTAAGTAGCTGAAGCCTGAATCAACCCAATTTTAGCTACTACGAGTCTCGTCTCTCCTCAGCCATGGAGCTGCCTTGAGGGGAAAATGGGCCACTCTTTTGATCAATCTACACTGCAGGGTTGTTGTGCTGGGGGTAAAATAAAGGAGACATTTCCAGGTAATTGTGAGGTCCTTGTGTAATTGTGGGGTCCTTGGTGCTCTCTGAGCTGGGTGGTTTTCTTGCAGACGTTGCGTTAGCCAAACTAGGTAACATCTTCACTGCTACATGGGGAGAGAGCAAACCTCCCCACTCCTCTTTAGCACACTGATGACGTTACCTAGTTTGGTAATGAAACGTCTGCAAGAAAACAACGAAGCTCAGAGAACACCAAGCACCCCACACTTCCATGTAATCTGGCTGGTGTTTTCAAGAGAAGAAGAAGGCTATAAATGCAATTAAGGTTTTTTAAAACAGACCCCTGGCCAAAGCAGTGCCCCCAGACCACACCTGCTGTTTGTAGATGCCCCTCGCTTCAGTAGCTGCTTTACCAGCCGCAGGTCCCCATTCCTGGCTGCCTGATGGAGCTCCCTCCATCCTGGTGCCTTGGCTGTCGGGAGCAAACCGTTTTCAGTCCCGCTCGTGGCAGGCTCCAAGCCTTCCTCTTTTCCGATTCCCTCGGGGATGCTTTCTGCCAGCACCATCCACTTTCTCACCAGCTCGGCCTGGGTTTTTGCCGCTGTTGAAGGAAGAATGGGGGAAAAAACGGATCAATGTTTTAGAGTCTGCGCATCGGCCACAAAATGAGATGCAGAGAGAAAAAAATGGGAAGATAGGAAGGTACCAAAAGGGAAAGGGGAGACCCCGCCCACTTTGAGAAGCCCCACCCACTCCTTGCCTAAGCCCCATCCACCTGAACTTCACCCCCCCTTCCCCCTTTTCAGCAAGTCCACTCTGAGAAAAACGTGACCCTGGAATAAAAATTTCCTTCAAAATTCATCTCCGCTTCAAACTTTGATGAAGAGCTGATCGTTTATCAGTAACTTTGAGCTAAAGGGAGAAATTATCCACTCTCAGAGAAGGCCAACTATGTAGGATTTTGCACAAAGTCAATCTAATCCCGGGGCGTCCAACCTTGGCTACTTTTAAGACCTTGGACTTCAACTCTCAGAATTCCCCAGCTAGCATGATAGTAAAAAGCAGGGCTGGCTGGGGGCTTCTGGGAGTTGAAGTCCAAGGTAGGACATCCTGATCCAAACCAAACTGAGATTTTTAACTTCGTTCGAAAAGCATATAAAGCACGTGAGACCTTTTTATTTCTTACCAGTCATTTTTTTCTCCTCTGCTGCTGACTTTTGGTTACCACACCGGTGTTGTTTTTCCAATGATGAGGGCGTGTTCACACCCTTGAGTTGGTTTTTTTTCCAGGGGCTGCTGCAAAGCTTGGCAATCTTTTCTCCAGAGTTTAGGCACAGTAGCTACTTGTGGTATACAACGAAGCAAAATTTACAAAATTTCTGTAAAGAAAGGGAACAGAGAAAGACAAGAATCAGGCCGATTGTATTCTGACAATATTTGCTCCATAAATATCCAGTCAATTCCAGGAATGGAGCCAGTGAGCTGAGTCCAGCGGATTGTTCCTTGCAATCTGTGCTCGAGTGTGCAAAGAGCTGTTTATTTAATAACTAAGTAGTAGACCTAAGGAGGGAAGGAGACGTGTCTACGCATCGCTGATTGGATGTCACCTAGCTAGTTCGTCTCCCTTTTGTGTGTACACAAAGACGGTAGACACCCTGACGGAAATGTTTTTGAAGCCTGTATAGATCTGAATCAGCCTAATGTTTGAGGAACATGGGGGCTGTAGTCCAACACAGGCATGGACTTCAGGTTTGGGAAGGCAGCTAGGAAAATAATGCAGTAGTGATTGGGGGGGAAGATCAAAGAATACGAGGCAGACCCAGAAGAAGATGGAGAGACAATATCAAAGATATATTACAACAACATCAATTAACAATGGTTGAGGCTTGCCAGGAGAGCAAGAGCCAGAACTTTGTAAGGAGGAGGAGGAGGAGGAGGAGGGAGGAGGGAGAAGGGGAAGAGGAGGAGGAGGAGGAGAAGATGGGGGTACCTCCCAGATGAAATCCAACTGTGGATTTGCAGGAGGGTATGAAGTTCTCCATCAGGATACAGCAAAGTGTGTTTTGAAAAATCAGATCCAATGTTTGCAAATCCTCAGCAAATCCAGACCGAAAGGTCTGCCCTGCTGGATTCTTTAAAAAAAATAAAATAAATTAAAATATCAGTTGAACCAAATCCTCACTCATCCTTCACCGTGTTAAGGGGAAGGGGAAGAATGAAAGCCCCTTCGTGAGCACCCCAGTTTGATTCAATTGCACTTGCGGCTTCTGGAAGGGGGAAAAAAAACAAAAACCACCCTTAATGGGCAGCTTGGTGGCAAAGGGACGCTTAACCTTGGAAGCAGCGCAAAAGGAAACAAAAGTCAAGTGGGCGATTTTCTTACAGACCATCTGGCATGCTCCAACATGTCCCCTTTCCCAGGTTACTTCTGTTATTTAATGCCCTGTTTTGTTTTGTTACTCAAGCCTGGAATTCCCTTCTTTTTTTAAAAAAAATAAATAAATAAAATGAATGAACGAATGTCACTTGTTAAAATAACACCATCCAAAGAAAAGCGCCTATGCCGAATGCTTATCATTTTTTTTAACGTAAATAAATAGGAGAATAGCGAATCGCCCAGGGATTATACTTGGGACCCCGAGCTGTCTCGAGAAACTGATTTAGAGCAGAAGAAGAACTGATCATTAACCTGGCTTCTCTGCGGGTGGCCTCGCCGGCTGGCCCTTTGGCATTCCGAACCATTATCCACAGCTTGTAAATTAAACAATGAATTTTTAAAAAGCAAAGCTGTACAAGCCTGAACCTTGAACCCCTAGATCTTTACGGTCTGAGAAGGTAAAGGTTGCATAATGGCCCAGGAATTAATCACGGGCAACAGAAACCCTTCGGGAATCCAGAAACGCTTCGGGATCCAAACAAATCATTTGTAAGCCACTGCAATGGTCTGCAGGAATGACCTGGGTGGACAGAAGGGGGAGTGGTAGATGGGGCAACTGGCATGTAAAAAAATATATCTCAGCCGATAGGAGAGGAGGATGGGAAGGGTCTCGGAAGGGACCCCCCTTCCTCTTTTCCAGAGATTAAATGGAGGGGAGAAATGTCGTCAGGCTTGCAAGATACTTCGAATGTAACCTGACGATAAAGACAGAGCTAGCATTCGTTGCTGCGCTTCTTGTCCAGACTACCTCGCAGGGCTAACGTCCGCCTAGAATCGGGTAGCTTCTCAATGGGGATAAAGGACGTGCACACCTGCTCGGCCACATTCCACTCATTTCGTTTCAGCTTGGCAGCTTGCAAGAAACCACCACATTCTTGAAGGCCTTGTGCTCAAGGTCCACCCGTCACTGCTCGCGTTAGCGGTCCAATCTTTCTTACTCAGCCAGTTTTAGACAAAGCCGAGGGACACGATTAAATCGATGGGCCCAAAGCTGCCATGTTGTACGCCCTGTTTTTATATAGTCGTTTATTTAACAGGGCTTTTCAACCAGTGGTACGGGTACCACCTGTGGTACATTGGCACCTGGCAGGTGGTACCCGACCATCCTAGAAAAGTGGTAGCAGGGGAGGGGAATGAGCTGAACCGGTGGCAGCACTGCACAAACCTGAGCTGCAGGGCTGTCAAGGCTCAGTGGAAGCACCAGGATCAGCGCCAGGCTCCAGTTGGAGCTCGGCGCTGATCCTGGAGCTTCTGCTGAGCCCAGAAGAAGTGCCGATCAGCTGGAATGTTGCAGCATCTCCAGGGTCTTATGATTTACATTCAGATGCTTGGCAACTGATTCATATTTATGATGGTCACAGTGTCCCAGGATCATGTGAAATGACCAACACCTGCTGCAACCACCCAGCAGACGGGGGGGGGAATAAAAACCAAACACCCCCCACCCCACTCTCGCTGCCAATCCTCAACAGAAATGCTCACAACAATGAAAACCTCGGACAGGAGGAAGAGCGCGGCCGGGCGGGCAGGCAGGTGTCTTGCTCGGCTGTGGCTTGGGGGGCACTTTTTTCAGTGCCATTGTAACTTCGAACAGTCACTAAGCGAACTGTTGTAAATCGAGGACTACCTGTACTTTATCACTTTTTTCCTTTGGGGGGGGTCATCAAGTTTTTGACCCCTTGCTAGGCAACTGGTGGTACTCGGATGTTGCCATATCCTAAAAGTGGTACAATGGGTGAAAAGGTTGAAAAGCCCTATTACATTTCCATCCTCTACTTCAAGAAGTAGAAACATGCGGGAATTTTTTCTCTGCTCCGGATAAGGAGGACCAGAGGGCCAGGTTCTGGATTAAGAAAGGAGTGGATGTCCATCCCATTAGGGTAGGGAACAACACCCCATCACTCTTCGCTTATTTCCAGTTCCCTTTTTCACTTTTTGAAGAATCCCTTTGCTGGTTTTATTTTAAAAGTGCCCAGCACTGAGCAATCAGGCACAGGGAAAGTGCTACAACTAAATGTCTATGGAGATTCTCAGTCATCCAGGTCATGGTTGGCCCCAAGATGCTTTTTCAAAAGGCAATTAGACATTCTTGGTTTGGTTTTTTTTCCCCCTTGGGAGATGTTCCATTTCTCATCCAAGAAGCTTCTTTGGTTCTGACTTTCCCACCACTTAGTCAGAACGGAAGAAGCTCCTCGGATGAGAAGCGAAACGTCTTCAAGGAAAAACAAAGCAAGTCCAGTCGCCTTTTGGCAAAGCACCTTTGGGTGTGTGTGTGCTACAAGGAGGAGATTTTCCTCAGCATTAGGTGAACACAAGATGGTGCTGTAAGCAAGAACAAAAGAGAGGCGGCACCGTAGCTGTTTGTGGCCACAGAAAGAGGTCTGGCATCTCAAGGATATGTGTGTCAAGGGAAGTGCGTTACAATCCACCCTCCCTTTGAAAAGTTATATGTGGCTTCCGGGGACCGGGGGGGGGGGGAGGAGAGATGGGGAGGAATAAAATGAGGATTGTTGAATCCCAAGAGAGATAAAATGCCAAAGAAGAGCGCTATCTGTGCCAATTAAGCAGTGGTTCACCGCACTAAGGCTGTCGTGCTAACTTAATTAGCACTTGCTAACCACTTTGATCTGCTAGAACAGTGGTTCTCAACCTGTGGGTCGGGACCCCATTTGGGGTCGATCGACCATTTCACGGGGGTCGCCAAGCAAGGCTGTCCACCATTTTTTTTGTCCGCCATTTTTCCCCCTTTTCCGGCGGGTGCCTTACCTCCCTTGGGCTGGGCCAGCTGGTGGTCGGCCTGCTCCGTCTCTGCCGCTTGCCAGCTACGCCTCGGCCGGCGAAGGGGGCGGAACCACGCATGTGCGGCGCTCCCGGGCAGGGAAAGTCCTCGACTTACGACCAGTTTAGTCCTCGACTTACGACCGGTTTAGTCCTCGACTTACGACCGGTTGGGGTCGCGGCATTAAAAAGGTTGAGAACCACTGTGCTAGAAATCTCTGTCCTACTTTCTGCTGAACCCCCAAATCAGGAGAGGCCAGAAAAGAGTAGCTTTGGGACCAAAAGGAGGAACTTCTTCTTAAGAGCAAATAAATCCTTCTCTTTCCATCCATTCCACGGATCTAGCTATACCTTACAAAGAATCTCCCTCTCAGCTGCAGAGGCGAAGCTCTGCTTAGCTCTTTGTCCGGGATGGAGCTCCATTGAAGGCGAGTTCTCACAGAGAAAGGAGCTTTATGGAGTAGCTTGGGGTTACTCCGCCTTCAGAGCATGTCTGCTTCGCCAGAGTAGATCCCAGGGATCTCTAAAATGCTACAAATTCAGTCTGGAGGTTGGAGGTAGAAGTTCAGAGGAAGTGGCGCTTGGGTTCTCCCGTTCTTCCAATTCTGGAATCGTAATCTTCTCAAGAGGAACATCCACTGGGGGAAGCCATCTCAGGAGGCTACTGGTCTCCAGTTCCCCTTGATCTACCACCTTCTGGGATCAGAAATGGCTTCTCCAAAGACTAATCCCTTTCTGTAATGGTACTGTTAGGGTGAAATGGGACCTGACAAAATGCTAGTTCTTGGGAGTCTCAGAGTCCACTCCCTTGCTCTTTAGGTAGTCACTTCTACAACCACTGTTCAACAAGTTGCAGCTTTGGGGGCTTGTTTGGGGAGCTGGGGTGGACACCCAGTTCAGGCTAGCCTTCCAGAGGGACTCCTTGGAAGGCAGGTTGGGGGACGTCTCCGGCTAACTGTTCCCAGGAGAAAAAGAGCT